AGAACAGGTTTCTACCCCATGAAAGGGGAAAATCCAACATTTCAGAGCTTCCCCCTGCCTCAGGCAGGGTTGAGGGTCTTCACAGTTTAAATTAATAAAAAAGGACCCAACTGCTCCAGCATCCTCCTATCACCCAGGTGATGTGGTTCAGTCACTGTTCTGCTTTGGCAGCTGTTCAGGCTAAGAGACTCCAAACCCACCTTGGTGAGGGCAGGGACCCTCCTGAGACAAGTGAGGACTAGATGCCAGCTGTCAGACTGGCTCAAAAAGAGCAGACAAGCCATACAGGTGCATTCATCACACATAACCCTTTGTGAAGAGGGTGATTATAACCCAGTTAAAGAGAGAGGGAAAGCACATGGCACATAAACAATTTGTTACTGGAGAGGTGCACTGAAAGATTTTTAATTGATCCAGAGCTTTGCTGTTTAAAAATTCATAGGCTTCAAGTTACTCTTGCCACGCTTAAAATTGCTTTAGAGTTTAAGAGCCCTGGCACTTGCAATCAGCTGCCCACAAAATGTGGCCAGCTCAAGACCTCTTGCAAACAGCGGGGCTGTTTTTGGGTAAAACATGTTCCCTTTCCATGCCTTCCACTGCAGGAGACAGCACCACTCACAACCAGTGCTGGTTGCAGGGAAGGGGCTCTCACAGTCCTGAAAGATACTGAGTGCCACCAGGATACGAACAAGGAGATACATTTATTTTTAAACTCAAGAAACTGGGGCTTAGGAATGCTCATTCTCAGTAACAGCAACTGAAACACTGAAAATCTGCCAGCAGTAAGACTCCAAGGATCAGAGTCAGCTCCATCTGTCATATCATTTCCAGAGCAGACTGTGGCACAGCCCAGCTCCTTGCTGTCTCTTCTGGCAGCAGCACCAGGCCTCCGCCCTGAAGCACCTCCTCCTGCCCCGATGCCCAAGGAATGAGCTGGGATGGAAGCCATGGACAGCCAAGCTGCAGCAACGGAGGCATTGCTGTGTGACACCTCTGCTCAAGTATTTGCCTGCAAACTTGGCATGACCTCAGAGCCCTGGCTCCACCTCGAGATGCCCTTACAGGCTGTGCTGCAGGGATGCTGGTCATGGGGGTGTAAAGCACAGATAAGCCCAGGGACAGTAACACTGACATTTGTTGTCATCTTTTGAGGACCAGTGAGATAAAGACTGTGGGGGCCTGTGAATTAGACTTTTTGCATATGAAAATTGAAAATGAGAATAGAAATAGAATATGAAAACTTCCTGGCCAGAGCAGTTCCTAATAACTATGGTAAAGATGAGGTGCTCATGGTCCTCCTGCCCTGTCTCAGCCTCAGTGAGACTTGTGATGGCAGTGCTCCACTTCTCAAATCATTGAATCCCAGTTCTTCTCTGGGAAGAGCCGAAAGGACGCCCCTGCCTCAGCTGACTGTATGAGGTGTAACCCTGTGAATGAACTTGCCAGTTTTGTTATTACATGACATCATTTTTTCCAGCATTAAATTTATTCCAAAGAACTTTTCTGCACTGAAATCCTTCAGATATTCTCTTGATGATGCAAAGTACACCGAGACTCCTGTTCAGAGATTTCCAGTGAAAGCAGTGGGCTTCTGATTCTGGCATCACCAGCTGCACGCCAACACACAGCTCAAAGCATCGTTTTAAACTCCTGAAAAGCTGCAAAAAACATCAGCTGAAGTCATTTGGAAGCAGCCTCATGGTGGGAAGGACAAGAAACAGGCTTTTGTAAGTCACTTGAGATGGTGGCAATGATGCCTTTCCGGGTGCTAGCCAAAGGAGTAAACGTCCCTGTGCTGTGATGGGCTCCATGCTGGGACCTGCACAGGAATGCTGCTGTGGATGAAATGGTAGCTGGCCAGTCTGCCACCAGCAGCCCCAAGTAATTTCCCACACTGGGGTGTCCTGAAGAGGTGGCACCCACTGATATGCAATAAAGACAAGTCTTTGGTGGAGCAATTGAGTTTAAGGAGAAACTTAAATCCAAAATACACTTACAAACAGAAAAGGCTGCCTCAGTTTCCAAACACGCCTGAGAAAGAGTGTTCTCCAACCTGCAGACATTTCAGGGCACTCACACTCAATGGAACAGGACCTGGCACACCCCAGCTGCATGTACATGGTGGCCCTTTTTCAGGGGGACTTCCCAGCTCTCAGCAAGGGCACTCAGGGACCCGCTTGCCCTCCTATCTCCGTGTGCCATGTTTCCGGCAGGCAGCTGCTGCCCTGAAACAGAAATGTTTTCCTGCCTGGAAAACAGGAGCTTATTGTGCCTCCCAGGGAAGGCAGAGCCGGCATTCCAGCAGTGCTCGTGCTGACAGAAAGAGAAGCAGCACCTCCAGAACGCCTGCCATGGTGCACGTTTGGGGCCAGCTTTGGAGCTGCTGCCAGATGCACTTTCTACTCATGGATCTACAGCCTTTTGATTATTTTTGACTGCCTTCGCAAACACAATACTGCTCTTGGCCCAGAGGCCACTTCTCCACTAGCTATCTCCCGCTGAAGGGCAGCTTTGCAGCTTTCACAGTGACCTGCAGAGCAGATCCCTTTGGGCCAGGGGGCACTGCTGGGCTCTGGCCATCACCCCGCTGTGGAGCATGTCACCCTTGTGTAACAGCCGGTGGGGCCAGCTGGAGCAGGGGAGGGCTTCGTGTGCTGCCAATGCCAGAATGTTACTGTCATGTGTAATTTTAGCCTCCGGAGCCCGGAAAACCCTCTTGAATTGCCACATACCTTGATAAATCATTGAAGTCAATGCTGTGTGGCCTAAAGCTGGCTTTCAGATAGGAAAGGCCAAGTGCTGAATGTTAAATGTGATTTTGACTGGAGCTGAAAGTGTTTGCCGTCAGTAGTTACCCAGGGTTTCTGAGGCTTGTAGGGACCGTGAACTGAGACACAAAGTACAGGCAAAAGTGCCCAGGATATTTTTGTTTTGCTGTCTCAGGCAAACTTGACTGAGAAGAAATCTATGTGTGCAATGTACATGCAGGGTGAAAACCAGGAGCTTGGAAATAAAGAGAAAATACCTGCAGGGTACAGAACATCCTTCAGGTTAGACACCAGGGACAGCTGTTTCCTTGTTTCAAAAAGACCAGTCCCATTGTAGAGGCTTCACCAACCTAAAAAAGGGACCAGGTGTAAAAAAAAAAAAAAAAGTCATTTCACTGTGAGTTCTGCATTCACTCTTGCCTGCTTGGCCCAGCCACTTGGGCAATGTTTAGAGTTTTGAAGCCTGGCTCACATTTAGAGGCAAAACAAGTGGTACAAGGCTGACAGGCCTTTGCCATGATAAGGTTTGTTGCACCGGCCACAGGGGCCTCTACCTTACAGCACCACAGCCAGGTTCCTACATAGATACACATGCAAATGTCTATTCCTTTCCCTTCAAAAGTCCATGAAACACATGGGAATTTTTTTGCCTTCCATGTTAATAAGTAACTGGAGAAACCAAATTTTGCCCTGGGGACAGAGGTGAGTCTGTGATTACAGGTGATTTTCTGTGCAGGGCAGGCTTGGGTCTTTGGTACCCTTCCCCAGTTAATTATGAAATTGTATAATCCATGCATGGCAAACCAAAAGTTGGCTGTCAGTACCTTCAGGGCACCAGCTGCCCCACTATTGGCACTTGTGACTGAAGCCTTGGGTACAAGCTGTGCTACACGTACCTAAAGTACATGTATATCTCTACATAAAATCATTGTTTATATCCCATATTTTATATGAAGTATATAAGCCTACCTTAACATACATTTTAATATGCTTCTGAAGCAGTAGATTTCCTTATCTCCCTTCCATATCTCTGCATCTGAGAGATGTCCAAGAGCAAAGAGGCTATGGGGAGAAAAGGTTAATGCTCAGTTAAACAATGCAGCATCAAAAACCTATTCTTAGGTCTTCATAGGTCTGAACCACAAATTTCTGCTCTTGAGGTAGTTTGGTGTTAATGCTTTTCAAGAACTGGTTGTTAATGATCAGGAAACGACTAAATTAACAGCTCTGGAGAGTTAATTGACGGAACACTTTCAATAATTTATTAGGGAAGGAAATCCTTGTCTGCAAACAAATCCAGTATAGGGTTATTTCATGTCAGGAGCAGAAACAGCACATTGAGAATTCACAAACCAGGAGTTAGGGTCACTAAAATTATTAACAGGATTTAGACTTCAAAAATAATAAATTGCTATTGATCTTTTTTTGTAATTGTTTTTCTGAAGTTCTAAGGCCTGCTCAAATGCCATTCTGTAGATATTCTAGGTAATCATAAAGCTGAAACTTCCAGTAAAAAGCCTGACAATTCTCACTTTCTCAGAAGCTTCTGCAGGAGATGAAATCCTATGGCACTGTGCAACCACAAAGGCTGCCAGTGAGAAAGACGCCTTTCTAATTCAGACTGAAATGAGCAGCAGTGGAGTGATTTCCACCCCACAGGAGGCAAAGAGCACCTTTTCAGTGAGCCCAAATCATGAATTGTGTCTTTCTGCCATAACCAGGGCAAAGGTACCTGTTGAATTTGCCTCATTGAGCCCCGTAGCTCCCGCAGATCCCCGGCGCAGGAAAGACACACGAGGCAGGCAGGCAGGTCCATGTTTCTTCTTTATTAATCTTCGTATTTCAGGCTCTCTTAGATATAGTGATTTAGCAGCTCTTTCTCTTAGTGATTCCAGCTCCCTCTAACCTCTACTGCTACCAGCATGCTTTTTTATGCATTTTCTTTTCTTCCTGCACATAGAATCACACCAATCAAACAGGTCCCAGCCAGATGACACAGCTGGGCACTCTCCAATCTCCATGCAGCATGTTTTTGTCTTTTATTGGTAGAATACTTTCATTTATCCAATACCATGACTGGTTGCATCAGCCCAGCTCGAGTCTGTGCCTGCACTGTTCAGTCCATCCGAGCTCAGGCTGTGTCCGAGCCCAGCCCCCACACACAGCTGTAAGATAGCGAGGGCCACAGCATCTCTCCCTTTCTTTTCAAAACAAGCACCAATGTTTAGGGTCCCAAAAAGGTCCTCTAAAATCCTTGAAAAATCCCAAAAATTCTCAATGATTAATTTTAATTTACAATTAATAATTAAAATAATTAATAATCAGAATAATCATTATCACCATTAATCAATATTACAATTACTCATTGCAATTGATATCATCACAATCATTACAAAAATCATAATTCATATCACAATCAATCACTTTTATAATCATTATTCATTAATTATGATCAATTACTTTTATGATCATTATTACAACAATCTTCATCTCAATTAATTACTTTTATTATTATTACTCATTAATTACTCATTAATTAATTAATCATAATTACTTTTATAATAATTATTACAACAATCATTATTACACCATTAATCATAATACAATTAATTGCTTTTTATAATAATTATTAATCAATAACGATTATAATTTTAATCCTTTATAATTCAATAATCAATATCATAATTAACCATCTTTATAATCATTATTATTTATTAATCAATATACCTGGCCAGTATAATTTCATAATCTCTTTTTTCTATACCATAAAACACGGCCTATTATGCCATTTTTCTGACTCCGTATCTGTTTCCGTCTTCTGGCTAACACCGCCTTTTCTTATTATATTAATATCTGCTGACCCGCCATCCCTGGCCTCCCAGCTAATTCAATTTTTTGCATTTAAAAACTTTTACATAATTGCATTAAGTAGAAAAAGAAATAAAATTTACAGGCCATAAAATTTGAGTCCCAAATAGAAAGTTACTATTAAAGCTCACGGTTCAAGCCAGTTTATTTTTTCTTTCCTGACTCCTCCTCTCGGTCGCCTCCCCGCGTTCGCAGCGTCTTCAAACATTTGATCTCTCCGGCGCGTGTGGCTGCCCCGCCCGTCGGGGGCGTGTCTTAACAGGAGTTGCTTCCCTCTGGTCCCGCCCCCGCCGTTGCCGCCGCTGAGGGGCGGTGTCGCAGCGGGGGCCGTCCTCCAACTCATCGCTGCCAAGGGGCGGTCCCGCCGCAGGGGCTGTCCCCCGCCGGCCCCCACCCCCGTCGCCGCCGGGGCCGGGCCACTGCGGGGGGCCGCCCCCGC